ATGGACTTATCATGTAGTTCAACTGATGCTACTGAAGAAATAGGTCTAGAAAGATCACGCTTTAAAATTTGTTCAGTGACTTGATTTCTATCAAGTGGTTGTGTAGCAATTGGCTCAGATGTTTCATCTGATAAGACATTCTCGCTATCGGTACAAGTGATCATTTTTGTGTCGCATGATAAGTTATCCTGGAACACTTTAGTGTCCACCCCCTCAATAGCTGTCGATGCAGAGATATCATCGCCTGTGCTGAGAGATAATTCCAAATCTTGATCGTTACCATTGGTAACAGTTTTTTTGTCACGTGATAATTTTGAATCTACTGAATTGTTAATTGTTTCAGTATCAGACGGTAAGTCAGAAGTAACTTCCTGGACTTGATTTTTAGCTGATTCACGTTGGAGTTTCTTCTCCTTATTGTGTTGCCTAATATCTTCACTGATGATTTTCTTATGCTTCTCATTCAAGAAATCATCCATCACTTTATCATCCAAAGGCTTTTTATGATGATCTACAGCCGAATTGAAGTTAGATAAGTTGTTATTAGGAGTATCATCATCTTGCAACTGCTTTTGTTCCAATTTCGCAACTCTATCATTAGTATCCTCAATTCTAGCATCACGTTGGTTATTTTCTTCTATCATCTGCGTCATAAGCTCCTCATTTCTGGCCTCTATCTCAACATTCCTAGCTTCAACCTCAGCAAGCTTCTTTTTAAGTTCAGGGATCTCGGAACTCTTGGCCTCAAGTTCAGCTTTAAGCTCAGCTTTCTCAACCTCAAGCTCGATAATACATTGCCTCAATAAATCTATTTCGGTTTGCATGTCTGTGTATTATCAAAATGTTAGTATTCAAAATCGGTGAAAATTAGTAGATTATTTAGTCAACCATAAACTGGTTTACAGTTTTTTTGCCAAGAGATATTTTAATCTCATCAGTATCAATACCATATGATCATATTTCCTGAGCCGGCTTGATTTTCCACATTAAATATATTACTTTATTATAGCAATCATGACAAATAATAGCGAAACGCTTGCTCAGTTTT